AGATAAGTCTGAAATTTTTGCTGATATCTTTCTTGAAAATTTCTCCAATACTAATATGCAATATAGCCATAATAACAATGAAAATAATCAAATACCTATCATCGAAGATGTTGATTTTGATATAATTGATATTATCAGTTTCATTAAAAAATTACCTAACAGAAATGGTACTTCACCTGATAATATAAATTATAAAATATTAAAGATTGTACTTCCCTCTATAGCTCCTTTTCTATCGGAAATATTTAGAATATCACTAGATTCAGGTATATTACCTGATATATGGAAGGAATCTATAATAATACCATTATTCAAAAAAGGAGAAAAATCAAATCCCGAAAATTACAGGCCTATTGCATTAACATGTGCCATATGCAGGGTCATGGAAATGGTTCTTAATAAATACATTGTTCAATTTCTGTTAGATAACAATCTATTTAGCAAAGACCAATATGGATTTATAAAAAATAGATCTACTACAACACAACTAATCACTACATTAGAAGATTGGTACGATGCAATAATGGGAAAAAAGAATATTGACTGTATATATATTGACTTCAAAAAAGCATTTGACTCAGTACCACATGATCTCTTAATCAACAAATTATATAGAATAGGTATAAGAGGAAAAATTTTAAATTGGATTTCATCATTTCTTTCTAATAGAATTTTCAGAGTTAAAATAAACAATGAATTATCCAAACCCAGAAATATTAAATCAGGTGTACCACAAGGATCAGTTTTAGGCCCACTATTATTTTTAATCTATATAAATGATTTACCTGATATAATCCCAAATGGTATAAAAATAAAACTTTTTGCTGACGATGTTAAAGTATATGTTGTACACAAAACAAAAAATGAAAGAATAATGCTTACAAATGCTATCAAAAATATTGAACAATGGTCAACCATATGGAAATTAAATATAGCTATTAATAAAACATATATAATCTATCTTGGTAAAAATAACCCTAAAGATCAATATAAAATTTTTGATGCAACTATAAACGAAGTAGATTCTATACGAGATCTAGGCATTATAATTGATAATAAACTTAGATTTCAAGAACATGTACAAAAAATTATTAGGGCAGCTTATATAAAAATGAATTTCGTTTTCAAAATAATTAAGTCTAAATCTATAAAAACTTGGCTTACTATCTATAAAAGTTATATAAGACCCTTACTAGAATACTCTCCTGAAACATGGAATCCACAACTAAAATCTGAAATTAACAAACTCGAAAAATGCCAAAAATTCTTTACAAAAATCCTACTTCGAAAATGCTCATTACCTTATATACCATATTTACAAAGATTAGAGTTCCTTAATCTTCCTACTCTTGAAAACCGTCGTAAGACTTATGATTTAGTATTGGCTCATAAAATCTTACATGGATATACACATCTTGAACCAGACAATCTTTTTAAGATATCAAATAGAAAAAAATGTTATTTATTATCTAAAAGTCAAAATTCAAAATCATCTAACTCATTTGTTAATAGGGTAACTAAGATGTGGAACGTTTTAAATGACGAAATTAGGACTACAAAAATAACCCCTAGTTTTAAAAATAAAGTAAAAGCAATACTTATTCAATAGATCTAATCTAATCTGTTTTTATTGCTATTATATAAAAAATAAAATCAATTCTTGTAAATTCCCTTAAATTATAAATTTTATTCTTTAAAGCCTATTGCTCTAAATATAGAATATTTTTTCTTTATTTTTCTTTCACTCTCAAGAAAATTTTCAAATTGATAATGAATTTATTATTTAACATTATATCTAAAAAATTCAAAACTTCATTTTTGCCAATCCTCCCTCATATCTTTATAATTAAATTTCGAATATAAAATTTGGCTTATTTATGAGAGAATAACTGCTTTAAATACAAATAAAAATATTATAGAACAACAAGGTTAATCGCAGGCGATAGAGAAAATATTTTTAAATCCTAATAATAAATTCAAATCCTAAAAATATTTCCAATTTCTAAAAAATCTTTGAAAAAAAAAAATTTAAATTGGTAATTTAATATATTAATTTGGCATTCTATCTAAAAAATATTTTTATTTAGATGACAATCTTTTTTTCTCTGTCATCCGTGCTATTTCTCTTTTGATGATTCATAAAATTAGAATTTTTTTCTTCCCCTTTTCTTAATTTTTTTTATTGAAATTTATCATTTTTTATATTAATTTTTATTTTTTAAACAATATTTTTTTAAGGAAATTTTTAAAAAAGGCATTTAATTGGGTAATATTTTTTTGTGGCATGTCTAAGCGCAATTCTTCAGAATTTTCTCCTTTAAATTTTGCAGCAAATATGACAAACAACGAAAAACGCAGCAAAATTGTTGAAGAAATTAATTCTTTAAATTTTGACAAAATTTAAACAGAAATTAAATTAATGGACCTTCTTTTTAGATTTTTGATTTATGTTTTCTATTAAAGCACCTTAAATAAAATAGTCGGTACGGAGTATATTTATTTAAACAAATAAATTAATTAAATATAAATTTATATGTGTTTTTTCCTTAATTATTATTGACTTATTGTTTTTTTTGCTGTTTTTTTTTTATATATATTTTTATTACATCTTTTAAGTGCCACACTACGACATTGTTGTCGGAGTAAGTGGCACGCCCTTTCGATGACATTTTTTTTTTTTTATGTTGATAAATATTTTGATAAATATTTTTAATAGTATAAAACAAAATAAGTGGCTAAAAACCTAGAGGAGAATAGAGACGAACATGAAGAAGCTAATAGGAAAGCAAGTTAACTTTAAAGAATCAAAATTCCTAATATTTCCAATTTGTAAAATGACTGGTTAGCAACTAGAATTGTAAATAGGGTTGCCGTTTTCAAGTCGGGCCGACGGTCGAGGCATTTTTTTCGGGCTTGATTTTATCGAGTCGGGCCGGTACGAGTCTTTTTCGGGCCAAACATATAGGTCCGTCGGTCCGAGTCGGTCCATTTTGGCAACCCTAATTGTAAACCTTGTCCTGTATTAATTAAATTACTTATAAATCAAAATATAAAATTTTAATATCAAAATATAACTATAAATTTATCCTTTACTAAATTTAAATAATAAGAATAAAAGTTTAAAACATAAATTAAATTCCCAAACATGTCAAAAACCGGTCACTGGCTTTTTAGTTTTAAATTTTCTAAAAATCTAATTTTATCAAATTTTTCGGTCGAATCTTAGTTGTATGTCAATCCTCGTGGAATAAAACCGAAGTTAGAATGAAATTTACGTACTAGAAGTGACATACAGTGATGTCAAAGTTCCAGTTCCAGAACTAGAACTAACGATTATCTGGAACTCGTTTGGAACTAGAACTACGGAACTAGTTCCAGAACTGGAACTAAGCAATTTTAAAAATGTAGGGCCGGAAATGGAACTGGAACTAAAGAAATTAAAAACCTAGTTCTGGAACTGGAACTAGCTCCAGAGAAATTTTTGGAACTTCGACATCACTGGTGACTTTGACATCACATCACGCTCTCGAGCAATTTTAGTTACATAAAAATGATAAGAAAAATTTCTTGATTAAAACAAAACCCAAACAAAAAATTATCTTTAGCCCAATTTAAATTTTTTTTCTTTTAATATCCCTCAAAAAACCCAAAAAATTCTTGTTAAATAACCCTTCCCCAAAATAAATTTTAAAAAATTCCAAAATCCATTTGTTTCGTCTTCTTTTTCCTTACAAAACACATTTCCTAAACACCAACAACACTTTTAATTGTTTGAAGAAAAACATTTTTAGCTGTAAAACCATTGTTGTAATTTGAAAGAATTTTGTCTCTCAATTCGGTTATTGCTTGTTGATATCTATTTCTATAAAAGATATCTTTAAAAATTTATTAGAATTATTTATGTATAAGAGAAAGCAACCAGTTTACCGTATATGCTCGAATAATTACCCTGGGTAATTATTGTTTCGACCTCTCGCTGGAGGGGGTAATTAATTGAGAGGACGGGCTAAATTTGGTGTATACCTCAATAAATCGAGGAGAAAATCCATTTATTTTTTGATATTGATTCTTATAATGTTTCAATATTTAAAATGGACAATGATTTTTTCAATATTTTTAAAATTAGAGAAGGAAAGGGAGGGGGTAATTATTAAAGAGGGTAATTATTTGAGAGAGGGTAATTATTCGAGCATTTAAGGTATCTCGTTTTGTTAATATTCAAAAATAAATTTACATTTTTAAAATCAAAATTTAAAAGTTTTTCATAATGGCCCTCAGTTTAAATTAGGGCATCGATATATACGGATTTTTCCTCATTTTGTGGTTTTTTGATAGGTCGATGAGAATTATTTTTTAAAATGCGGATTTTTGTGGTTATTTGAAGATTATGAGGATTTTTTATATTTTCTTTTGATTTTAATATAAAACATTATTATTTTCCTGCTAATGTAAGACCTTATAAAATCCCCAAATTTTTCGTCTGCGCCACCATAATATTCTAGTAATAATTAATATTCAACTTACCCTTCTTTAAACATCTCAGCGACAGCATTTATGAATTCAACTTCAAAGTTAGGATTTCTATGTGCTTTATTTTCATTGTCTCTCCAAACTAGACTTACATATATTCCAATACCTAAATGCTCGACAAGAGAAGCATTGAGGAATTGGTCTACCATATTTGGAATGCAAATTAAGGGAACACCTGCATATATTGCCTTAAATTAATGATTTTGTAGAGTATTATTGAATCCCTAAATATGTATACCTCAGTCAAACTGTTCTGTCCACAATGCGAAATAAAAAATTTTGTATTTGGATCAACTGAAAAGTGTTCAATCATTAATTAAAAAATGTTAATTTACATAATATTTTTTGTTGATCAATAAATTCATCAGTAATTTGGATATTTGAATAAGTTTGTAGATCATAACCAGTAAAGAACGATTGAAAGACTCGATTCATCCAGTTGGGAAATAGTAGAGCTTGAGAGCTTTAGAATGATATAAGGTTTATTCGGATTGGATTAAGCATAAAAATGTTATGGTCGATCAAATTGGGAAAAAGGGAAAATGAGGGGCGAATAACACAAGAATAACTTAAAAATAAACGAGTAACCAAAATGCAGATTTTGTAAGGAAGAGAAAGATCCTGCTGGCTAGCATTTTAAACGCTCTAGCCGGTTTAAGATTTATTAAAAGAGAAGGTGAAACCAGCGTCCCGGAAGCTGTCGGTAGGGCAACTGTACGTGGTGAGCGAAAGCGCCTAGCAATAACCGCCAGGGGGTCGCAGGATCGAACTTTTACCTCGCTCTTACTATTCAAAATTTTTTAATTAACAAATTATTACATATTTATTATCCTCCATGCTCAAATAATTTTCATTTTCCTCAACATGCATACCTCCAATATAAACAATTCTATCATCTTTCGGATAATTTTTGAAATTAGCAAATGAATGTTGATTAACAAAATGATAGCTAATTTTATTGAATAGACCGCTAAAATATTCTTCCGGCGTTTTACTGTGTATATTTAAAGCATCGGCCATTTCAATACTCCCAGCATGCTTATAAAAATTTTCAGTAGAAGTTATTGCATGTTCCAGTTCTTTCAAATTTGCCTCAAATCTTTCTTCCTTGAAATGACTTTCGCCTTCTATAAATATCCAATCTCCGGGTCTCGGAAAGTTTTTTGCTTTAAATTTAAAAATGTTTTCATGAATGAATCCCTGATATATAGTGATAAATAGATACATACATAGGGAATAAATAGATCCTTGATACATGGTTTTCTATTAAGTATTTAATGGGAAGAGGATATTTTTGAACTTTGTATGACCCCTTTATATCTATCTCTTTACAAATCTATGCCGATAAGTACCGGTACTTGTGTGTGTACCGTAGTTCTGGGCGAGTAGGGATCTTCATTCAGAGATACTGTGTACTAATGTTGCGCCTGAAGTTCTGGTTCCGGTAGGCCGGAAGTTCCGGGATTTTTGGTTCCGTTCCGGCGTGTTTGTAAAGTTCCGGTCCTCATGGCCTTCCAAAATTCTCAAAAATTTCGCATTGCCATAAATTTGAGGAGATAATAAAAATGAGGAATACAAGGTTCAAAATTCCGATAATGTGTGCTTATCCAGTTTTTTCGATACCTATTCAGTTTCCACACAATTTCACCTAAAATTTACCTGGAATAACAAAACTAGCGTTAATTATCTGTAAAAGATTAATTCCAAGGAATTGAAGAGAACTAGGAAGAATGAGAAACGGAAAAACATTAAAAGTTTTTTTAATTCTCAAATATTCAAAAATAGCAAAAGAGCCAGCCGTTTCAGTAAAATCGGCGATTCCAAAAGAATATTTTTGTTGGCGAAGATAATTAAGAATGTATACTATGTTTTCATTTCCAATAATGACTTGAGGGTTGTTTAATAAATCTTAAAATTAAAATCATTAGTATTTTTGACACATTGAGGAAGAAATATTGCTCGAGAATGCCAAGGATGTCCGAGATTCCGGTGCGCGTAGATCGCATGGTATTTTTGATATTAGTATAGATTATTAATAAAGTAGGGGGGGGGGGTGGAAGTATAGTTATGTGGAGCACTGTAGAAATATTGGAGACAATGCTGGAGACTAGCCCAGATAATCCCTGATCTCCTCGGCTTTCCAACCCCATAGCCTGCCTGTACGATTATCTTATATGACTTGAGGGTTGTTTAATAATAAATCTTAAAATTAAAATCTCACCTTCAAAAATTCCAGCAATATATGCACTTGAACCTCTATAAGCAATATAAGGGTCCTTTTCAGGTTTTTCCTGGTCCAAACGTTTTGGGTCTATATTCAATTCAATAATTTGTAAATTGTTTGGCATTGGGTTGAGCACTATAGGGGTACCGTTTGCTCTACTATAAACTACTATATCCTATAAAATAATTTATTTTAATTTTTAAAATACTTTTTTTAATTTAGAGCCATTTTTAAGCCAAAGAAAGAGATCATTTAGACTTGGCTCATTCAGAGCCAATTTGGCTTATTTAGAGCCAAACCAATTCCTCTTAAGAACACCAAAAATATGTCTTATAAAAATTCTTAATTGAAATCAAGTTTTTTTACTGACACTACCCCCCCCCCCCTCTCAACTAATACCAAAATCACTTAGATTGTTAAGATCTGCAAGTGGATGTTTGATCAATCCCAATTTATGTAAAGTTTTTATTTGAATAACTCACAACAACGTAGTGTTCAGACAACGTCTTAGCAAGCATTAACTGAAATTTTTATTTATTAAGGTAGAAGCTTGGAGGAATCTCATGGATACTCTGAAAAAACAAATTCTTAAGATACTGCTTATGAAAAGAGTTGATCGACACGAAGAGGTTGATCGACACGGGGGGGGGGGCATCCTCGTGTCTATTTGTGAAGCCTGACGAGGAGTATATATATTATACCAAGCTAGATCCGACATTCATAAACTTAGTTATAAGTTTTGTTTAGCTGGGGTAGATCAAGTCAATTTTTAGATGAATTTAAAAAATATTTACATGTAATTGAACGTGAGAGTAGAAAAAGTTATCGAAAATATACAAAGCCCTTTTTGAATTTCTTCTTTTAGATTCCCTTCCTTGCTGTACATGTGCCTTTCCTTCACGTTGTCTTAATGGTTGATTAGACCTACTTCCACCTCCAAAACACCCAAAATTATTCCCTCTTTTGCAACGACGGTGGAATAATAAATTATTCCTTTTTCCTTTAGTTTTCTCAACAGATACGTTAATAAAAATTAACAAGAAAATGTAAAAAATTAATTTAAAATAATACATTTTCTAAATTAAAATAATATATAAATAGAAAAAGTTTATTTAAAATAAAAAATAAAAATTATATAAAATATTTATTAATTATTTAAATATTGTTTAAGTTTTAAATAATTTTTAAAAGCAAATTGGCAATAGTAAGTGAATTGGGCAATGCCTCTCATTCTAAGCGTAAGGGAGAGGGATGTAGGGAGGGAGAGAGGAATGTAGGGAGGGAGGGAGAGAGGTATCCTCTCTCCCTCCCTACACATTGCTAAGCAATGCCTCTCCCTCCTTACTTCATTCTCTATATTTAACACGTTGAATATTTTTAAAGATTTTACATGTGCTCTTTTTAAATTGGCGGAAAAAAATTTTAGAGGAAAGACTGTCAATAATTTTTTAAGTTTAAAAAATTATCAATATGTATTGACAGAAAATTGAAAATTAATATTTGAATTTATCTAGTTAAATAAATATTAAAGTTTTTAACATTTATTTAGGGAATAATTCGAAAATTATGGGGCAAATTAGTTCGTATTCTAATAATTTTTTGCTCTTAATCAGGGTTTTACACTACCAGTTATTAGCCCCAGATCGATTCAGTAGCGGGGTAATAATTACTCCCATCAAATGCCCTACTATACGTTCAAATTTTAAACTTCGTATAATTGCAATCACCAATTAAATCACCATTTTGGGCTTCTCTTATCAAGGCATAGCCGCATACATTCCCAGCTCTAGTTAAAAACAAGTCGAAATTCTCTTTTAGATTCTATGTATAGAGCTAAAAAATAATTTATTTAAAATTAAATTGTAAATTAAAGTGAATAAAGTTAAAACAATATTGTCAATAAAATTCCTTAAGAATTAAATGTTTTAAGATATCGTATTTAAACGGTTTAGTCTTTAAATCACTTCCAAAGTTTGTTTCAACAGAGCAACAAGTCATTGAAACACGAGGTTTATACGAGTCGAAATTCTCTTTTAATCTTATACCTTTACCTAAAAAATAATTTTTAAATTTATTTAACTATGGTTCAATATTACGGTCAGGTAGCTATTTTCACTGGGTCGGGGTTTAGGTGGTTTTGCCTCACAAAGGATAGGCTTTTGTGTGTCCGTGGGACTTCGGGATGAAATTTGGTAGACAGGTAGATTTACCGTGACGGGTACGGTAAATCTGTGGGGAAAGGCTCCCACCGTCCCTGGTGAACCACTGCCCGTCCCCGGGGACGGCCGAACAAAAATCTGGATTTTACAACCCCGATCCCGACTACGGATCGGTCGAAATCGCGATTTGGAATAATGACCCTGATCCAGGTCCCGTCCGGTATTCAACCGTAATTTATTCTACTACCTTTACCCTCCAAACAATTAATATACTATTTAATATTTTCATCATTAATTAAATTAGCATATCCATATCCATTAATACAATTACCAATAGGTTTGTTTATATTTATACATTTATTGTCGCAACGGTATCACGACTTTTGCGCCGAGAACATTTGCGCCGCGACTTTTGCGCCGCGACTTATGCGCCGGGCGACTTTTGCGCCGCGACTCTTGCGCCGCGACTTATGCGACGGGCGACTTATGCGCCGCGACTTTTGCGCCGGGCGACTTATGCGCCGCGACATTTGCGCCGCCATAATTTTAAAAAAATAATATCTGCAGTCGGACCTAATTATAGTGTACTCCTTAAAAAATGGTATCCAGTAGCTTAAGGACTTTTAGGAAGTACAATATTTCGGGAAGTACAATAGCCCTTATAATAAACCGACCCCCTAGAGGGGTCATCTTCAAAGAACTTGACTTTTTCGGATCAGGATATTTAGTCTGCTACCCCTATTCAGGCATGATTTTCTGCCAGAAGATGGTGCAATATAGTGTATGGTTGTCGGGTCCAGATATCCGAATCTGAAAAAAGCCGGATAGCCGAAAATTTTAGGTCGGATATCGGATCCGGATCTTGATATCCGAAGATCTCCAACTATCCTACATCTTCTATAGTGAGGTCCGGCTGTAGTTTTTCATAATTATTAATGATAGTAGCGGCGCAAAAGTCGTCCGGCGCAAAAGTCGCGGCGCAAACGTCGCCCGGCGCAAAAGTCGCGGCGCAAACGTCGCCCGGCGCAAAAGTCGCGGCGCAAAAGTCCCCCGGCGCAAAAGTCGCTCGGCGCATAAGTCGCGGCGCAAAAGTCGCGGCGCATAAGTCGCGGCGCAAATGTTCTCGGCGCAAAAGTCACGGAACCGTCGCAACAATTCCATCGACCATCAAATTCTCCCCATTTATTTTTAATTTTAACAAAATCCTTTAAAAGATACATATTAAGTAATTATTATTCTTCATTTTATTATGAACTAACCACATATTCAAAAATCGAATTGTTCAATTTAATTGTTAAATCAACAAACTCTCTCTCGGATAAATCATTTACCTTTTTAAATAGATTAATTTAAAAAATATTTTTAATTATATGTAGTTAACAAAAATTCCTAAAATTACTTCCTAAAATTCCTTAACCTAAAATTCTTTCTTAACCTAAAAAAATAACCTAAAATTCCTTTTTCAAAATTTCTCATGAGTTTAATAAATTGTTTTTGGTAAAATCGGTAACCATTTTGAGTTTTTTTGCCTTATCTATAATTTATCATATATCATTTAAAGAGCTTTTCGATAGTGTCGAATGGTATGATCGGAAAAAACAAAATTATAAAGCTTAATACTCGCCGTAATTGTTTTATTGTTGAATTATCGATGTACCGCGAGCCCAATGTACCGCCGAGCTATAACTTTGTTGTGAATTGTCGAATCCGTGGCGCCCTGGTATGGTTCGATGCGGCTCGACCAGCTGAATCGAACCATACCAGGGCGCCACTGATTCGACAATTTTGAACTAAGTTATAGCTTGGCGGTACATTGGTACACTGGCCTGGTACACTGGCAGTACATTGCGGTACACTGGCCTGCTCCCAACAAAAATATTCACCTTTTTAATTTTTTCCTCCAAAGAATTAATTTTCTCGTCTTTTTGCCCATTTTCAGATTTTAATTGTTGAATATTTTGTTTTAATTCCTTAATTTCATTTTCATAATCTAACTTTATTTTATCAATTTTCTAAAATTAAATTAAATAATTTAATTTTAAAAATTCTAAAACTTTATCCGTTTCTTTCATTTCATTTTCTAAAAAACTATTTTTCTTTTCCAGATTAACAGTCTTTTGGTTCTCCTCCTTAAACTTTATTTGTAATTGTTTAAATTCACTATGTTGTTTTATTAAATCATCAATTTGCTTATTTAACTTTAAAAAATTTATTTGTAATAGTTTGGATGACCATCTCCCCTTTTTTCTTGTTTCCCTGAACATTTTGAGCTTTTTTTGCCTTGATACATAACAGAGAATGTCGGAACAGTCCGAGGTGTCGAAAATCAGAAAAGCCGGGAATCGGAACTGGCTCAAAATCGGAACTCGGAAATCAATTTTTTTCGGAAATCGGAATTCAGACCACCTCTGATATATAATTTATTATATATCATCACTCGGTAATACTGAAGAATACAGACCCGATTTTTTCCTCCCCAATTTTCCCCCTATATTTTTAAAAAATGGTCAGACTTTTCCTTCCTTCCATGCAATTTGCCTTTCTAATTTTTGCCTACAATCAAACAAAAAGGATTATTTTGGATATTTTATTTACTGTTTTAATAGAGAATATTAGTCTTCTCAAACTTATACTTGTCAAATACCAAAAATAATCCTTTTTTTGATTGTAGGCAAAAATTAGAAAGGCAAATTGCATGGAAGGAAGGAAAAGTCTGACCATTTTTTAAAAATATAGGGGGAAAATGGGGAGGAAAAAATCGGGTCTGTATTCTTCAGTATTACCCATCACTCTTCGAGCTGGTCCAGTGATACCAAGATTGGCTAGATTTGGCGATTCTAAACAAAATTATGAAGCTAAATCCTCATTGGAAAAGCTTTTTGTGCCAATGCAGGGGGATAAAACAGCTTATCATAACCTTGTTCATTTAAGTCAGACTTCCTTAAACTTAGTACCAACCGACTCAGCTCGAAGAGCTCTTTCTAATGACATATAATTTGCCATAAGATGTGAAAAAAATGAAAAAAAGAAAGGAAAAAGGGGATGATCAGCCAAACTATTAGCAAAATTTTTTTTAATAATAAAAATTTACTTCAACTTCAGAAACATAATTTGATGAACTTTCAGTCATTTTATAGTCAATTTTTAATTTAAATTATTCTAAAGAAAACTTTAAATATTAAATTAATATATTAAAATGATAATTAGAATTCTAGGCTTGCATAAAAGAATGCAAGAAACCGAAAGAATACATTTCTCGTCAAGATGTTAGCGAAAATCACAAAATTACAAAACAAGTTTGAAATACCACGAAAACTTTTGCTTAAAGTAATTAAGAAAATAATTTTACTACTTTTCAAAGAGATAAAGAAATATTAAATTAGGGATTTTAAACAATTTTTTAAATAAAATAATTATAATTTGGTTATTAAAATATATTAAATTTAAGAGAAATATTTTCTTGAATTTAAAAATAAATTTAAAAAGACACGGCATTCTAAAACAAAAATTGAAAGCTTTATTTTATAGAATTTTTGTAAAATAATTTATAAAAAAATTAATTTTCCTTAAACAAAATTTAAATTGAATAGATAGAGTTAAATTTACATATGCTTAAAAATATTAAAGGGAAATGAATAAAAAAATTAATTTATATATCGAAGAATTTTTTGCCCAGAGACTGTTTTTGTGTATGCGCATCTGTTGAGAAAAACGAGGTAATAAAGGATTATTTTTTATGTGTTGAGGGAATATTTTAAATTTAATTAGGTTAATTATTGGTTTGGTTTGCCGTTTTCGAGTCGGGCGTTTAATTTAACTTTAAGAAAAAAAATTTAATTTTAAAACTGTTCCAATACATAAAATTTATCACAAAAATAAATGAAACTCTCTCTGAAAATTTTAACTTCTTCAAATTAATTTCTTTTTTAACAAACGTCCTCATCTTCATCCTCAGGTTTCTCGTTCAGATAACGAAGATAATCTTCCTCTTCTGAATCTGACTGATTTATGGAATTAATTTTAGTTGGCTCTTCCACCACAGTTTCGTGATTTTGCTCATCCATACAAGTTTCTGTTTCGCCTTTATTACATTCTTCCTCCTCCTGATTAAAAAGACTTCCTTTTTCAAATTGAATGCTCTCTTCGTAAACGATTGGCAATTTACCTTTATTTTTAAAATCTTCATTCTGTGGATTAACAAAAGAAGTTCCCTCATTATTATCAGTATGAATATTTCCTGCATTTGAGTTTTTATTTTTCCTTTCTTCTCGATATTTTCGGGAATATTCATTCCTCTTTTCCTTATTATTTTGGTAATACTTTCGATCCGATTCTCTCTTTTTTTCTCTATTGTTTTCTCAGTATCTTCGCCTATTTTCTTTTAACTTTTCTTTATTATTTTGGTAATACTTTCGTTCAGATTCTCGCTTCTTTTCTCCATTATTTTCTCGGTATTTTCGTCTACTTTCTTTCAACCTTTCTTTATTATTATGGTAATACTTTCGGTCAGATTCTCGCTTCTTTTCACTATTATCTATAGTTGTTCTGCCTTTTTTAGAAATTGTATATTTGGGGTTTAACGTTTCATCTTTTTGAATTTGAGCATTAACCGATGATTCAGCCCCGTCATTATTCTTTGAGGTTTCCCCAACTCTAGTTAATTCATTTTGATTCTCACTATTTTTAACAGAATTAATTAAACTCCAAAATATCGCGTTGAATGCTAGGATTATTAGAATACTATCAAGTTTCATCATAAATTAATTTAAAAAATTAATTTAAAATAAAATTTTTTGTACTAATAATTAAATAAAAATGAGAAATTTTAATTTATTGAATTTAAATAAGCAATATAGATGAAAACACATTGGGTATATTATTTTAAATTTCATAATAAAAAATATAAAGTACATTCTAAATTAAAGGAAAGTGCAAAAAATTTTTTTTAAGTATAAAACTTTTTAAAGTATAAACCAGGGATGATCGAAATTTCGTTTTGCTATTTCGTACCCTTTTTTCTAAGTCGAAATTTCGATCATCCCTGGTTTATACTTTAAAAATTTTTATACTTAAAAAAATTTTTTGCACTTTCCTTTAATTTAGACATGTACTTTATATTTTTATTATGAAATTTAAAATAATATACCCAATGTGTTTTCATCTATTTAAATAAATTCAATAAATTAAAATTTCTCATTTTTATTTAATTATTAGTACATAAAATAATATTTTAAATAAATTTTTTAAATTAATTTATGATGAAACTTGATAGTATTCTAATAATCCTAGCATTCAACGCGATATTTTGGAGTTTAATTAATTCTGTTAAAAATAGTAAAAGTCAAAATGAATTAACTAGAGTTGGGGAAACCTCAAAGAATAATGACGGGGCTAAATCATTGGTTAATGCTCAAATTCAAGAAGATGAAACGTTAAACCCGAAATATACAATTTCGAAAAAAGGCAGAACAACTATAGATAATAAAAAGTTTAATAGAAGTGAATATATGAAAATTTATCGTCAAAATAATAGAAAAAAAATGCGAGAATATAACCTAAAGTATTGCCAAAATAATAAAGAAAAATTGAGAGAGTATAAAAGAAAATACCGAGAAAATAATAAAGAAAAGAAGCGAGAATGGAATCGAAAATACCGAGAAGAAAGGAAAAATAAAAAAGAAAACTTAAAAAATGTTGATCCAAATGTAGGAAATATTCACACTGATAATAATGCAGGAACTTCTTTTGTTAATCCACAGAATGAAGATTTTAAAAATAAAGCTAAATTGCCAATCTTTTACGAAGAGAGCATTCAATTTGAAAAAGGAAGTCTTTTTAATCAAGAGGAGGAAGAATGTAATAAAGGCGAAACAGAAACTTATATGGATGAGCAAAATCACGAAACTGTGGTGGAAGAGCCAACTAAAATTAATTCCATAAATCAGTCAGATTCAGACGAGGAAGATTATCTTCGTTATCTGAACGAGAAACCTGACGATGAAGATGAGGACATTTGTTAAAAAAGAAATTAATTTGAAGAAGTTAAAATTTTCAAATGGAGTAAGACAGCCCCCAGTTTCTACATTAGGGGCTGTTCAAAAAATCTACAAAAATTCCTGTAAACTTTCTATTGATATCAATAGAAAATTTTCGGGTTTTCAGATTTCAATGAAGGAAGTTTAGTAGAACTTTGTTTCTTTTGTATTTTCTATTGATATCAATAGATAAGTTTAAAGGGATTTTTGTAGATTTTTGATCCCCCTCCCCCAAATACCCTACTACACGTTCAAATTTCAAAACTCGAATTTTGGTACGAGCTTCCAAACACACTATATTTCATAACAATTTCTAAGATTTTAACCAATTTTAATATTTAATTTTAAATACAAATAAAATAATATATACATTATCATTTAAATAAAATATTACAAATAGAAACTTGGGGGCTTTTTGGTTTTCCAAATTTACACCAAGTAGCAAAATGTTCGCAATTCCATGTCCAAAGGCGATATTCTCGTTTCCCTAACTATATGAAGAAATTTTTAAATTAATTTCAAAAAATTATTCTAGCCTCTTTCCTAGCCCTTTCAGCTACTTCCTCCCCTCCAAAATTAGATTTTCTAAATAATTCCTCCATATTATCAATCCACCATTTTTTATCATTTCCACTATCACGAAAATCTTCCATTGTCCAAACAACTATCCCTCCCCCAGTTTTTAAATTAAACATCATTTTTGGCCAATCTCTCAAGTTTGGCTTATGACTTTTTGTATCATCCGAACAAAAATTGTGTACAACTGTGTGTTTTCCTATTCCAATTGTTTCTCCGACATAAACTCCTCGATGCTTAAAATAATTTGATTAATGAAATTTTAAATTTGATTATTAGGCATTTTGGATGTGTTGGTCTTTTTTTCACTTAAAAGATGGTCGGTCACTAAAAGTATCAAAAGTTATGTTATTTTCGTGGGCTAGATTACGTGTTGGTGTCTTATGGGCGCGATGTTGGAATTTTGAAATTTGCTCGTACTCGTACTTCGCACGAATTTTGGTACGAGCTTCCAAACATGGTAGAGTGAAGGAACAAAAACACTGATGCCTTTATAACATAAGTAAATTATTTAAATTTTTACCTATGTTTAATTGGAAACTAACTTTCCATTGTATTGAAATCTTTCAGCTTAATCATTATACACTTTTAATCAACTTTTCTGTGTTTAATTAAATAAACTTACAGTAACATTTTTAATTCCAGCACTCATTTTGCAGGCTACAAGGTCTCCAATTTGTAAATGATCAAATTCTGATTTAATAAAAAAATAAAAATAATATTGTGTCAATTTATTTAAAATTGTTAGGACTATGACGGGAGATTTCCCCAAAACTCACTCGGACCGGCGATATGAGTAAACTACAACGTGCATATAATTAACTTAAACGAGAGTCAACTTTACTTACTAGAGAGCGAGATTTTCAAAAAGCCGTGCCCTTGATTTCGGTTGGGTACCTTGATCTAGTCTTGACCACGATCAGGGAAAAATCAAGGAGTGCTGAAAAATGCCTTGATTCGGATTCTGGATCCAGGAAAAATCACGGTCTGGATCCAGATCCAGCTCGTTCTCTACTACTTACCCATTAAAATATATTTTTTCTTCCAAAATTTAATAAAATAAAATAATTTTTGCTTTTAATATTTTCCAGTTTAAAATTCGATTGGAAATGAAAATTTAAAAAATTTAAAAGAAATGAAAATTGAAAGTTGTTCCACTTTAAATTACAACGTAATTTTGAGTAATTACATATTGAATTTATTAAATATAATTAATTTTTAAATGACTGAGAAATATTTATTAATTTTAAAGATAAATTTTTTAAATTTTAATTTAAATTAGGGAATGAAAATTAAAAAGTTTTTTAAAGCAGTTGTGTAATACCCATTGAATAATTACCATATTTCTTCAAATACAGCCCCATGCGGCTCTATTTTTCAACTATCCTCCAAGGTGGGGCTGTAATAGAGGGTGGTGCTCTAATTGAGGGTGGGGCTCTATTTGAAGAAATTCGGTAGCTGTTTGAACTTTTTAAAATAAAAAAATAAAATTTTATACCAGAATTTATCAAAAAAAAATAATGAAAATACATAGTATTTTGTTTTGGTCTTGTCAAAATTTCTATCCACAGGGTGACAGAAAAAGTAACCTAACACCTTTCACTTAATCACAACTTTTTTACTTTAACATTTTTTAATCTACCGTATTCTCTCGATTAATTCACCCGGGGAATTATTTTTTTAACACTTCCTTGGCATGGGGAATTAATCGAAGGAGGGGAATTATTTGAGTTTTGGCATTTGAACGTGCAGTAGGGTATTTGGGGGTGGGGAATTATTGTTTTAACCCATCCCTGGCAGGGTGAATTAATTGAGAGGGGGAATTATTCGAAGGAGGGGAATTCTCTCAGGGGAATTCTCTCAGGGGAATTCTCTCTCAATTCTTCATTCAATTGTCATTCAGAGCTTAGCCTGCTTCCTTTAATGAACATTTTTCTTAAATTGACTGTAATTGTTCCCTATCTCTATTATTTAAAACCTATTTGATCTCATGATCTTCAATTTGATTAGAGTTATTTCAAAAAAAGTGTGTACAGTTATTTTTATGTCACCCTGTATGTTCAAGAGTAATGCAAATGTTGCAAGATTAAATATAGCGTTAAATAATCCCGTTTACTTACATCCCGTTTAGGAGGGAGCAGGCGAAATTCAGCAGCTAACGCAATTACAGTTGCGTTGACCTGTTAGCTTTCATTGAGTTTTTTGAAATTGTCTCTTGCGCCCACCCCTGATCCCGTTTACTTAAATCCCATTAAATAAAAATTCTATTTTGAATCCTGGAATAAATCCAAAAATGTTAAATATATGTCAAAAATTCACCCATAAATGTTAAATAAAAATATAAAAATCCAAAATAATAATTCCTTTTCTAGTCCCTTTCACTCCGTTTTCATAACATTAATCACGAATAACTTCTGAAATTTTTTGTAAAAAAGTGTTTTTAGCTCTAACACCATTGTTATATTCTTCCAAAATTTTCATTCTAAGTTCATTTATTGCGTTAAAATATTTACCACTAAAATATAAGAAAATATTTTTCGTAAATATCTATTCAACTTAATTTTTGGATTTTTAACTTAAAATTTGGTTCTCTTTGAACCGGAAATCAGGTCGAATCCTGAATTAAACTTTTGAAAGGATCCAGTTCTAATTCTTCGTTTACTTTACAAAAAAACTGGAAAATAAATAAAGAAATAACGAAAGTTCGGGCCAAACAGAGCCTGAACTTTCAGTGGAACACTTTAAATTTACTAGCAAAATTTTAAAATTTCACTAACAAATTGCTTATCATCTCATTCAAAGCCTTCTGAAAATCATTTTGAAAATTTTCATTTTTTTGATAATTGCCTCTCTCGTCATGAAATATTAAAAGTACATATATTCCAATACCCAAATATTCGACGAGAGAAGAATTGTAAAATTGATCTCCGGAACTTGGAATACAAATTAAAGGAACACCTGCATATATTGCCTTTAAAATTAAATTAATTTTAATTTTAAATTGAATTTAAAAAAATAAAGTATAAATGTCCAGTTCCTTCTAGGTTTCTGCAAAAGTTTTTTTTGCCTTACTTTTTATTAGTCAAAAATTTTTACATGCAGGGTGACAAGAAAGAAATGGGGCACACATTTTATGCTGCAACTTTTTTCATATGAAAGATAATTGGATGAATTAAAGCTTATATGATAGAGAATTAAACTTGGAACAAGACTAAATAAGAATTTTTGAAAGGCCCACCCTTCCAATGGATACAAAGTCGAAAGCGCGTAGAAAACTTTTAGGTAAAAATTCGCACCACCTGCGGTAAGACTTTCTCCTGTAATTTTTAAGCCCGTAATTTTTAAAAATTACCTCAGTTAAACTATTCTGTCCACAATGAGAAATGAACAATTTTGTAATTGGATCAACTAGAATATGAAAATAAATTCAATATTATTTTCGGTATTTTTCGGTATTCGGAAGTTTGTTTAGTCAGCGATAGGGAAGAAAATTGTAAGGAAAAACAATGCTTGAACCGGTGGTCAATGTTTGAACGTATCCTATAACATCCTTTTCCTGCAGTTTGGAAAGAAGGGGCCCGGGATCGAAGGACAACGGTTCAACCCAGTTTTTCACATTGGTACGGTACAAAATTCTGAACACTATTTAAAATATTTAATTAAAGAATTTAAATATTTACATAATATTTCTTGTTGTGGAAGAAAATCATTAGTTATTTCTAAGTTATCACGTATTCCTGGCGAAACTTCTTTGCCTGTTCTAACTTTGAAATAATGATTCTCATATTTATAAAATTCACGCATCATAAATTCAATATCCGCAAAATTTAATCCACTTTGTACGTTAAGAGTTCCAAATGAGACAAAAACAAGAGGTAAAATACTCTTAAATAAGGGAGGTTGTAAAATTTACCCCCGGTATTAACTTTGGGCTAAGATACAGACAAAAACCCTTCGCTTAACTAAAGGATTTGTAAAAGTGTCTCACCGACGACAATATGTAGGACTTTATAAGAAAAAACAATTTTTGAATTAAATCGTTAACTTCTTACATTCTAAGGTTTGGTAAAATTCAAGTCCCCCCCCCCTCCCCTCCCCCTCCTTTTTCCTTCCTCAAAGTATTAAAAAATGGTCCATCAGTCTTAGGTTATAGAACTCGTCGAGCTGTGTCGAATGACACCAAAATTTACCCACGATCTTAACTTTGGGCCGAGATACAGACAAAAACCCTTCGCTTAACTAAAGGTTTTGTAAAAGTGTCTCACCGACGACAATAGGAATACTTTACGTCATAACTTTGTCAAATCTTGTTCAATTACCTTGATTCTGGTGTCATTCGACACAGATCGACGTTTTCTATAACCTAAGACTAACTGACCATTTTTTAATTCTTTGAGGAAGGAAAAGGGAGGGGGAGGGAGGGGGGAGGGGCAAAATTGAATTTTACCAATTTTTAAAAATATATTTTTATAAAACATACAAAATTTTTATCAGTTGTTATATCTATATTTTTATTTTTTTCAACAAGAATACCTCCAATATAAATAATTTTTGGATCCTCTGTAAAAGCTTCAAAATTTGCAAATTCATTTTGATTAACGAAATGATAGCTAATTTTTCCAAATAAATATTTTAAAAAATTTTTATTTTGGCTTATTTCCATTGCGTTGGTTAACTCGTTACTTACTTCTTCGAAATAATTTCGACAAGAATTAATTTCGTTTTTATGAGCTTTTATGTTTTTTCCCCTCCTTTTAGGGTTGAAGACGATAAGACCTCCTTCCCCTACTATCCAGTCTCCAGGTTTGACAAACGTTAATTCTGAAATTAATAGAGAGAGATGATCATTATATTACCGATGGTGTTTAAAAAGGGGTTATAGATGGTCGAACCTCATTTTTAAATATGTTCAATATTGTCTTGAATTGTGGGCAGTGAAGGCTCCCGAACTTGGGAGACGCCCAAGGCGTCAAAATTTCATGCGAAAATTTTTGAGATTTATATAGTCAATGGAGATAAAAAAGTGCGAATCCCTGATCCCGGTATCATCAGATACATCCAAAATAAGCAAATTATGAATATCTCACTCCCCTAATAGTTTCTACATATATATCTTTCAATGCAAATCTTTAATTTTATCTTTAATTTTTCTCAAACAATATAGGTATCGTAAATACATTACCTTAAACCTCAAATGTACCTTAACCTTAAAATTTCCAAAAATTCTGGAATAATATTCTAACCTGGAATAATATTTCCCCCTTCCATATGTTTTATAATATCAAAATCAAGAAGTTGGAAATATACTGGGAAGAAAATAGAAGCATTAACACTAAAAGTATTTTCAATTCCCAAAGCTTCGAACAATGCAAAAGCTCCAGCCATTTCAGTAAACTCAGCAATTCCAAAAGCATATTTTTGTTGGAGAATATAATTATTTCTAACTTTTTGTTTTTCGTTTTTGAATATTTCTTTAAGAATGGAATTAGTTAGTTTTTAGAATTAATATTGGGGATTGGATTTGACAAATCTCAGAAAAATTTGTTCTTATATTATTTTATCCTTTATGTTTTGCTGCAAAAAAGGAGATACTTTGACTTTACTTTAGGACATCCATAAGCTTTTCTGCGCCTCATGGACTTTTATGCGTTC